TGCAGATAGATGGCACCATCCACATCTAGTGAAAACTAGTGTAATTGGATGAGACATATAACGCAAACACTCATTGCTTAGTTATTCGTCAAATTTGTGCTGACGCCAAGGGAAATGCTCANGTGGGATCTAGTTTTAAATTGTATGTTTTTTGCTTTTAAACTGTTTTTAAATTATTTTTATTATGTTGTGTTCTTAAACTGTACAGCACTTTGTATCAACTGTGGTTGTTTTAAAGTGCTTTATAAATAAAGTTGGTATGGTATGGTATGGTATGGCAGAGGTTTCAAGTAACGAAGTACAAATACTTTGTTACAGTACTTAAGTACACTTTTTAGGTATCTATACTTCACTCCATTACTTATTTTTCTTCTTACTTCTGACTTCTACTCATTACATTTTCACAAAAGTATCTGTACTTTCTATTCCTTACATTTTTAAAACAAATGTTACTCATTACTCTTGGCTTCGGATTAATGTTTATAAATATTTATTTTGTTTGCGCCATCCAATGCAGATCGATGGTGACATCCACATTTAGTGAAAACTAGTGTAATTGGATGAGACATATAACGCAAACACTCATTGCTTAGTTATTCGTCAAATTTGTGCTGACGCCAAGGGAAATGCTCAGAAGCAAGCAGGTGTTCTTCAAACTGAAAATGGGAAATGTCGATTCCATGCTACAATGTTGGATTCAGAAAAAAATAATTGAAATGTCTGAAAGGTTGGACACAGGCAAGAGCGTATCAGGAGATGGAGACGGAGACCAACAAGACCTCCCTCATCCTTGGCCCTATCTCAAAGAATTTGTCAAAATAGTCGAAAAATTGAGCTTTCAAATCATAAAGTGGCATCTGGCTGTTTTTTTTTTTTTTAGGTTACTTTATACTTTTATACTTTAAGTAGTTTTTGGAGCACATACTTTTTCACTTTTAGTCGAGTAAAGAGGTCAAGCTGATACTTCAACTTTTACCAGAGTGTTTTTAAACTGCCGAATCTATACTTTGTGTTCTTTTGACACCACTTGAAAACGGTACATAAATATTAGAACATCTTAAAGTAACAGTGGCTCTAACCAGTGAAAATTCTGGCAATTTTGAAGATTTGTTGCTGTTAGTTTGAGTCTTACTCAAGCAGTAAACAGCAAACATTGAATGTCCCAGCCTATGTTCCTGTGATTGGGCTGTCTGACCGAGCAGCAGAGGTGGGGGGGACAGGACGTGGCTCGAGCTGCAAACCAGCACTTGTGGAGCAACGCAATGCGCTTATTCATGAATTTAAACATAATTATGCCAATAAACAAATCAGAAATGTGCATGTCGCAAAAGGTTGGCGCTGCAGCGACCATGACCGAAAGCCTCAAACAGTTTTGGAAGTCACTGCTGTGTCACTAGATGGCTCTTCACTGGCCAGGTTTTTATTCTTTTTTTGTCTTTACTATAAAAAAATACAATTTGATTCATCAAGAAAACATTGTGTGTATTTTTGTGCACAATAACATTTTGGTAATTTGCCTCATATATTCTGTTCTCAAATTTGCTCTTTTGCCAACAATAAACAGACATTTCTTTCTTTGGAGGAAATTAGCAATATGACTAACCTAAGCCTCCACATGGGAACCTACATCGTTACAGTCAGTTTCCAGTAAGAAAGTCCAAGATTTTAAATAGCTACATTTTCAAGATCCCAGAAATATATGTCATGTTTTTGGAGTCTTTTTGACAACATATCAAAGAAAGTGCTAACAGTAACTTGAGATTTCTCTGACTGCATGACTGATAGTATGGAAGCAAAAGGAGGCCCAGTCATCAATATGAAGTCTAGGATGGAAAAAGTTATTATTATTCTGCACACAAAAAGTATTACTAGATTTTAAAGAAGTTCATTCTGTATTTTCTCTTAATTCGGGTATGAAATATTAAATATATATATATATATATTGTTGAGGCAGTAATGATGAATATTTCAAGTGATTTTAGTACTAGCTACAGTACGCGGTTGTTTTCTGCTTTCAATAAAAGAAGTTAAAATAGGAATCAGAATTGTTATTGGATATATAATTACATTTTTAATGCGGAAACTTGGCTCAGAATGCACATAAATAGAACACAGACAAATTTAAAACACTTTAGAGGTAAAAGATAAAAAAGAAAACACATAAAAATGATAAAGGCACGTCAACTGAAAAAATATGTTTGAAAATATGTTCATTGGGATGTAGGAGGATATTTTCAAATAAAGTGCAGGTTGTGTTAGAGCAGCCTATAAAGACATGTTGGTCAGGAAATTTACTGTTTTATGTCTGGTGGGGAGGCTCACAGTTCTGAGAAACAAGATGTTTTTAAGCCTATTTCTTGTAAATCTAATGTTCCTGAATATTTCTCCCGGTTGAAGCAGGGAAAACAACTCATAGCCTTGGTAGGTGAGCTCCGTGGCAATGAGTCTGATCCTTTTCTGAACTTGTGTAACATAAACAGAATCCAGATCTTGCAGACAGCCTCCTACGATTCAAGAGAATATTTTGTAGTTTTTTGTTTTAAAATGTTACTGCAAATACTGTGAAACTGCATAAAACATTGTTTTTTTTTTAACTAACCACCTACTTACATGTTGCACTGTCTAAATATTAAGAAGGAGAGCTTTCCCATTTCCTGAAAGAAATGGAAAAACAGATAAATAACAAGAAAAAAAATAATTTTGGATGCTGACGTTCTTATGAGGTATACGTGTTTTAGGGCTTAATCAATAAAAATAGGTGATTATTGGTATAATGTCAACTGATTTGGGTATCAAATAATAATTAATTGGAGTATACAAACTCTAAATCATTATACCTGCTTATTACCGTGCAGTAATTAAGTCAAAAATGTAAAAGATATATAAGCAATTTATATTCAAGACAAAATCTTTCTTATGAAAGAACTTAAGTGTATTTCTAAGTCTCTAATTAAATTGTTCTTACAGGTTCTTGCATTGACATTGCATTTAAAAAGTTTAAAGGTTATTGATATAATCAGTGGATTAATCAATTACTCAAATAACTGTTTGTGCCTCTCCTAAACAGTAAGCCACCCTGGGCAGTGAGCCATAACATCAATTTCAAGGGAAATTTCTAAAAAAGAAAGAATGAATAATCCAAAGTTGGTTTGTAATTTACCTTGCCTTTTATCAGAGTGTGTGTTTTTAACCTGCATGGCTACAATGAAAAGGAGTTCAGGAGATAACAACCAATGGTTATAGTGACAACCTTCTTAATAACAACCTTTTTTTTCTCTATTCTCAACTATGTTTTTAAGATTTGGCTGAGGTGCATTCTAGAAAGCTTTATCAAAGCTGGACATAAAAGAATCTCACCATCAGAAGAAGGCAGCTATTTTTGCTTCATTTGCATTAACGCATGTTGCGGCTAATCACAGGAAGGCCGGTCAGGTTATCAATTACATGAGATTTCATTTCAAAACACTGAAAACATTAAGGGCAACCAAAGCTTCTAAAAAGGATCAAATACATCTTAGACGCTCTAATTATACAACTCAAAGCAAACCATTACAGAAAGAGAAACATAGATGGATAAAGTCTAAATTCATTGTGCAGATTCCCAAGGAGGTTTCAAAGATGTTGTGAAATAGTTCCAGTATGTGAGGGGGCATTACATATTCACCCCCTGCCGTGAGTCATCTTCCCCCACAACCGCAAATATTACAGCGCATCAGCAAACCAAAACAATACAGGTCCTCTCCAGTTCGCATCACGTATTTCCCTCTTTGCCTTCGGTGGTGCCTTGGGTATTTGGAAAGGAACTAAAGAGCACAGAGGGGGAACAAGAAAAGCAGTGTGCATGAGAAGGGAGAGGGGAATAAACAGGATCAGGAGACACAACAGTGACAAAGATCTGTCTGAGAAAAGAAGGAGGGAACAGGAGTAGGGATGGAGTGGTGGGGGGAAGAAAGAGCAGGGAAATATATGGTCAGAGCTGTCCCCTTATAATCCACCATGTTGGAGAAAAATCTTGTCTAGAATTAGCCGGTTTGGTGGATTACACAGATTTTGAACCAGTTTCAAATTAAAGGAAACTGCAGGACAAAAACTCAGAACTCCCATTTCCTTCCAAAACAAAAACTAATTGGCACAGAAAAATTCCTTTAGGGTGTGTGAATCAGACGGGTTCAGGATGATTGAATAAAGCTTTAACAACTGAAGCTCCAAATCCTTCAAAGTGCATCTGGAGCATATTTCTTTACCCGACAAGGCCATAGCAAAGGTATTTCATTTGTCTAAGCCTGCTTTAATGTTATGGCTGAGGCTGGAAAGACCTTGAATTTATTACCAGCTGCTAAAAGTTTCAAAAAACTAAAAGAATATAAAAAAAAAAAAAAAACACTCCAAATAGTATAGTGGATAATGCAATCATCCACTCCCGATAAAAAAATTTACAAAAATGACCGCCCGAACAGATGTAGAAAATGAGTTAAAATAAACAATTAAGTGGAATAGAAAAAACCCTAAGTGAGAATTTTAGAATAACTCTGATTTTAATCTATTTAATCTTCTATTAGACTAAGAAACCCTTCATTGGTTTGGATGGAAACAAGAAATAAATGTGTCTCAAAACAGGATACACCAGGTTTAAGAATGGTGGAGGACCAGTGATGCTGTGGGCTAATTTCTCACCTAAAGAAAGAGACGCAGGGCGCAAGATTTCGGGGTTAACATCGTCCAACACATCATCCAATAAAAAAAATATCGTTTTCACCTGGTATGTGACAAATTTTTTTCCAGTTCAAAATCATATGATGGACCATTATACTTCTATTTTAATACGTTTTGTAGTGAAAAAAAAAAAACAAAGATAAATCACGTCACGGCAAATAAAAAAAGTCACCTGAATGAATATAAGATTAAATAAACGGAAACGCGTCTTTTACGCACTGCTTTACCAGTTAATGATCTGAAAATATGCAGAGTGCGAGTCTGCAGACACGCGTGGGTCCACTCACCCGTGATCCAGACTTCTGCGCTGAGACTTTAGGCAGGTAGCAGAGGAATGTAGCCAAAAAGAAAGACAAAGTGAAGAGAAGCGCTCTTGGCAATATCATGATGGAGAGTCGGTTACGCACCGAACAGCGCACAATGGGCTCGGTCCGATCCAAGGAAAATCAAACACCTTATCTTTAATTTTGAGGTCCAATATAATATATATTTATATTATCTTTCTTCTTGTAATAACTTCCTTTCTCTGTTAGTCCAATAACTAATCACATAGTGCCATGCGTAGGAGCAGACATCATGATCTGACGGAGACCATCGTGGAAGGTTTTATCCACTGTAGGAGGATCAGCTGTTCATCGCGGTTTCCACAGGTTGGGTCTCATTGCACTTTCATTTAAAAGCAAAGCTGAATGCAGCATCATTGATGACACTCCGTGAGAACCAATGGCAGCGTCGCCTAATAGCCAGGCCCCGCCCACAGTATAACACCCTGTCCAGGTTTTGGAGAAATGCTCTCCAGTGGAGTCAAGAGAAGCAGCAGCTGCAGAGACGCTCAGTGTATTATCATCAGTCTTTGAGAGCAGAGACAATGGCTGAGCAATTGTGAGGTCAAATTTTAGCCTCTCATCCCCATTCAGAGACATATAATGCTCTATAATAGACCAGAATCCTGCTGCTGTGACATTTAGCCTCTATACTTGGGTCACAATGGGAAACATCTATTGAGTAAAGTCAATAGCTGTCACAGACACTGCAGGGGGGCCGCCTGTGTGTGCAAATCTGGCTATGTCAGTCCACCATTCCAGGAGCAAAATGTATATATTTTTTTTAATTAATTGTCTAAATCAACATTATTTTTAAACCAATGTAAACATTTTGCTTCAATCTTTTAAATTAATTTCATATTTTTCAGTTTTTGCTGTTGACACTAAGCAGTAAACCCTTGGTCTTCAATAAACTTTAAAAACATCATGAAGGTAGTTTTCCCCACGTTATCTTTTAACAAGAAACCACTTTGTTGATCCATCCTTACATTTGGGCCAAACCAGTCCTTTTATTGGAATTTATTTACAGCAGGCATAGAAAGTCTAAATGCTGTATAAGTGTAGGATTTTCTGTGATTTAAGGTCAAACTAAGCCAGTTTGGAGCTATGTCCACCTTCAGTGTGATCAAAAACACAATTAAAGCCTCTCTGGAGAGCTTCAAAGCATGAGAGAAATCTCAGAATGTGAGTCAGCAAGAGAGTAAAAATGATTATCCTAAGCTAAAAAAAAAAAAACTGAAATGTTAAAACTGTATATGTGCAGTCATATGTTTTTATTATTACTGTTTTTATATATTTTCTACTATTTTTCAAGGCTGCACTTTAAAAAAAAAAAAATGAAATTGTCCAGAGAGCTGTTTTAAACAAAATGTCTTTTTGTTTTACACCTGTGTATACAAAATCACAAATAAATCTGTCTAAGTCATTTAGATATGCAATGAAACAAACTGAGGAGTCAAAACACTACAAGGGCGTTCCTTTCAAAAGTGGTACATAAGGCGAGGCAAGGCAAATTTATCTGTATAGCACAATTCAGTACAAAGGCAATGCAAAGTGCTTTACATGATTAAAATATAGGAAAATAAAACAGAATCAAAGCAAGTAGGGGGAAAAATGCAGAAACAAAAAAGAACATTAAAAACAGTTGGACTAAAGAAAATAAAAAAGTTGAACTAATGATGTTTCAGTTGACAAGGTAACAATTCAATGAGGTTGCTTTGTATAAATGCAAGTGCATTATTTATAGATATAATTGTATATAAATGACACTTCAGTAAATTCATTGAATTCCTGGTTAAATTGCATCATTGTGGTTATCCTAATAGTGCTTCAGTGTTAAAACACTAACAAAAAACAGTTTGAATTCAAACTAACTGTTTCTGGGAGCAATAAAACATTAATCCTTGGGAGCATAAATCATTAAATAATTGTCTGAAAATTCAAATTTCTTTTAACTAGTCGTCATTAAACATTGATAAATGAAGAAAAAAACAAACATTTTTAATAAGTTAAATTAGATAAGTTACTAGTAATTTCCATACAATTTACTATAGATTTTCTGGTTAACCATGGGCCTGATTGTATCTGTCAGCTTTTTCAAGAACAAAAATATAAAATTGATAATGAAAGGTCTCAAAATCTCAAGTATCCAATATAATAAACTTGGCGTTAAAATGTTGGAATAAATTCTGACAGGCTAGCATTTAAACTGTTTCTCTAAAATTGGTTGAGTAAAGTGCCTTGAGATGACATGTGCTGTGAATTGGCGCTATATAAATAAACTGAATTGAAATTTAATTAAGATATTCATGGGGTGCGAAGCTCATCTTGTTACCAAGTTAATTATAAGCGTTAGCACTGCTGCTAAACATGCTAAAGCTGAATAACAAATCGGAATTCCTGTTTCAACACAGAAACTTTCTCTAATCACATCTTTCAATGACGATTCTTAGTTTTAACTGAGCTTATATGTTCCCCAGTAATACAACATATATAATCATAAGCTCTCTGGTGTACACTGCTTTATTTCTAGGAAACAATGAGTAAATATCAATATAAGGAAATATTATTGTATTTAATATCTGGAATATGACTTAAAGGTATAGAGGACGATCTTTTATTTCCAGTGGATCATCTAAATAAGCGGTCCTACTAATTGTCAATAATCCTGGTGATATGTTTACATAAGGCCATCCTACATGCTCGTCCCTAGTTAGCCATCTTTTTTGTTACAGGCAGGCGTATATGTATAGGAATATATTGTTGGCATCTTGGAAGTCTTCCGGGGGGGTTGTTTTATTTTTATCTATATCATAACTACCATTTCCACCTAAATTTAAAAAACAGAATATTGTGTTAGAAGTTTTTGGCCATATTATCCAGCCCTAGGATGTAGACAATTTCTTACTTTGTAATTTTAGTATAAAACACTCATAGGAGCTAAGTCCATAAATAGTACATTGTGTATATATACATTGTCCTTATTTGGGTTGGTGTAATTTAACACATGCAGATTACTATACAACATTTAATGGGACATTTTGTCGGGAAAAATGTTTTCAGTTTGTACGTTTCTTAAAAAGAGTTAAAATCTTTGATGTGAGTCTTTTTCAAAGCATTATGTGTGGTCAACATATTCCCTGCTGTAGAGATTGTATCTCTGCCTCTTCATTGTAGTTCAAGTCCTAATAAGCTGATTTAACAGCCTGTCGGATGGGCCAACACCAAATTGGAGTCCTGACATCTCAAAATAATTCCTGTCTGAAAACAGTCGCAGGTTTATACAAACACTGCTTCATGAACCTTTAAACAGTCAGCAGATTCAGCCTGGATGGTTATTTATACAATGGAGGGGGGGGGGCACAAGTGATCGGCCTGTTTGAAAGAAACAACAGAACATGTTTGACAGAAGAGAATCTTTGCGCCACTTTTCCTTTATATGTTTGTCTCAGTAACTTTTTTTATTTGCAGCTCGTTCATGTATTTGCAGCCTGTTTGCACCACTAAGCCACCACATAGATGATTTACACAAGGTATACATTTATTTAGGAATTAGGTCTAATGAAGCTTGCTTTTTATAGGATCTCACTTTAAAAATCCCAAAGAATCTCTTGAGTTTTTTAAGTTACCTTCTAAAGTATAGAAACATGGTCCCATTATATAGAGAGCATGTTTTTCTTTTCGATTTCGACTATAACTTACAAACTAACTTCCGTGTCCCAACCATTGTTTTTATTATTTTATTATAATGAAGCCACATCAGCCAAACAAACAAAGCAGACTTTGGCCTTCACATTCCCATTCCCACTATTTTTCCCCCAACTAAGAGGCACTTTTAAAGAAGTAGAGAGCATGTTAAAAGGAAACGCAGGCAGGTGTCCATATCTAGAAAGAAAAAAAAGCTTTAAATTCACAGAAATTAGTCTTTTAAGAGATGAAAAGGGCCACCTGACCCCCCAGGTCCATACTCTGTGCTTTTAGATATTTGTAATTGTTGGTTTTGACAGTTAAAGAGGCTTTTGGGTGCCTCGCTGAAGGGCCTCTGATCAATTGAAGTCCTGAAATTTGGACAATTATGGTCAAACTTGCTGATTTCTTCAGATGCAAGAGAGGGCTGCTCAGAAAGGATGGAGTGTATTTTCAAAGGGGAGATATTTGGAGATAGAACAAAAGAGCGAAGGTTAAATTTAAATCTTCTTATTAGAACAATGTGTGTGTTTAATATTCAGGCCTTTTCTTGATATGCAGACCTCCCCTCCTTCCCGTAGCAGCTGGTCCACTCATGTTCTGAGAGGAGAAAACGTTGTGGAGAGGTGAGGATGAGGAGCAGGGAGGGAGTGGGGGACAGGAGTGTCTCTTGGAATGTTAACGAGATCAGTTTATATCTGCTCTTTCCTCACTCTTCAACCGTCCGCCCTGAACAAAAGGAGAGCAGGTTTTCAGGGGAGTGAAGTTGTTGTAGGGAAAGCACGGCTCGACACTTTCTGTTGTCATCTGGCTGGACATGAAAGAAAACCTCGAACAACGAAAACAAGAGAAAGAGGGGGCGGATGGAGAAGCCGAAAGGCCACGTACTTCCCAATTACTGCAGTTGCCCAGCCAGAGACGGCCCTTCGATCCCCCCCCACCCGCTGGCTTACATCAAGTACACACGGCTGAAATTAGCAGGTGTCTGTAGACACAGAAACAGAGAGGGCAGTGCAGAGGCCACCCAGAGATCTGCAGAGGGGCAGATTTAGCACAGATGTTCGGTCATGATCTCACATGAGCAAAAAGTTCAAACACACACAGACAGTTCAGCTGTGGCAGCTGAATGGAGGGGTGAGAGGCGTTAGAACACAGCGACTAATTAGTAAACCCCATATGTTTCTAAATAAGAGCTGCACTGTCATCTCCTCCATGTCTCCCCCTTCTTTTCTGGATGGTAAAAGCTGCTTTTTTTTTTGTACAGTCCCTACTGTTACCATTTCCCCAAACAGAGCTGAGCATTTAAACAATATAGGATTTCTGAATGTATTTTTTTAAATTTAGAGATATTGAATAGTAATAGTGAGGTTTGTGTAATTGGGACCCAGGTTTGATGAAGAAAACATCACAAACTCTATACATAAAAATGCCCTGGATGAGAAAAAGTTAAATTAATCCATAAGCATAACAGAGGGGAAAAAAAGAAAGAGGTTTCCGCCGCCCAGTTAGCGAATTAACTGATTAACTTTGCACTTTGCTACAAATAAAAGGTTTGCATGAATCTATATCCATGAAAAGCAGTTAAAAACACCTTTGTCCCTCAGTGCCCGTTAAACTCTTCGGTACCTCTG